AAAGAAGAAGAGCGAAACAAAATGTTATTTCATGCAACTACTAAACAGAGGAGCCAGAAAACAGATTATCAAGCTAAAGAACACAAGCAGCATATGGATTGAGACGGAACGGGGAATAGAAAAGGTTGCATCTGACTATTGACTCTCTAACCAGACCTCCTTCTGATGAAGAGATTAAAAATCCATCTTTACAATAAATCCAGAAGGACCAGATGCGATGACGAGCCTATATTACCAACGCTTCTGGGGAGGTAATCTCGATGGATAGCATTAAAACCGAGAAAGACTTCTTTACATCTGATAGTTTTGATCTGATGTTGAATCAGACAAATATATGCCTGATCCTAAGACGGCACACCCTAGTGAGATGGCTGAATTCAGACCTATCAGGCTCGGTAATATCTGCTATAAAATCATCTAAAAAAACTTAAGCACACGGTTAAAACGATCCTCGCGAACCTGATTTTGGAGACACAATCAGCTTTTGTAGCTAGACGTCTGATCACAGATAATATTATTGTAGTCCAGGAAGCCTTCCATGCTCTCTGTGCTAATCCAATCTGCAAACCGAAATTTGTGGCCATCAAAACCAATATGAGTAAAGCTTGTGATTGGGGTGAATGAGGCTTCCTTGAGGCACTTATGCTCAAAATGGGTTTTGCCAGAAAGTGTGTTACATTGATTAAAAGATGTATCTCGCCAGTCTCTTACCAGGTATTCCCAAATGGAGTAGCAAAAAGCAACATTCTACCCTCGCGAGGCTTAAGACCGGGCGACCCTTTTCCCCGTTCTTGTTCATCATCTTGACTAAGGCTTATATTGAACAAGTAAAATGGACAGAAGCGGAGGGTAGAATATGGGGTTTAAAGTGGCACAAACATGTCCACATATCTCGCATTTACTATTTGCGGATGATAACCTCTTATTTTGCAAAGCTAAGAAAGCAAAATGCGAAGAACTCATGTGTATCATTAACTGCTATGGAAGAGCATCAAGATAACAAATAAATTGTGAAAATTCATCTATTATCTTTGGTAGCAAGGTGGCAAATAGAAAAAAAGGTGGAGCTAAAACAAGTGTGGGGAATTTTTAGAGAAGGAGGAATGGGTATGTATCTTGGGATTCCAGAGAAGATTTATGGACCAAAAAAGAAAGTCTTTGCATACATCCAGGAAAGACTACTAACGCATAAATGCCTAGTCAGCAGAGCTCCTTTCTAAAGACAGTAAATAAGTTATGATTAAATCGGTAGTCTAGCCATTACCTACTTATGTCATGTTATGCTTTCCACTCCCAAAATAAATTATAAAGAAACATCAAGGCGTCATAGCGAGATTTTGATGGAGTACCAAGAAAAATAATTGAGGGTTACACTTGATAGCATGGAATAAAATGTTTGTAAGTCAAGAGAAAGGTAGCTTAGGGTTGAAGGACCTCAAATGTTTTAACCTGGCTCTTTTGGACAAAACAACTTTGGCATCTAATCCAGTACCCCTCTTCTCTATTGGCAAAAGTACTAAGAGCACGATATACAGATACTTATCTCCAATACAGGTGGAAAAGACCAACATTCCCTCATTAGGATGGAGAAGTATCATGGCGGCCAAGGGGATCTTAAAACAAGGGATGAGGAGTTCAATAAACTCTGGAATAAATAAAAGAGTGTGGTACTATAACTAAATCCCGGTGTCCCCCCCCCCCCCCCCCCTCGGGCCGGCAGTGGGATTTGTTGATTGGATAGATCATGATCTGTATGTAGATCATCTTATCAACCCAAATACATCAACATGACGTACGGACCGACTAGAACAGTTGTTTGATCCAGAAAATATTCTGCAGATAAAAAGCATTAGACCAAGTTAATGATATAAGCCATATGAGCTTATTCGAAATCTGGAGTACACAGTGAGGACATGATATGAGGTGGCACTATATTGAGAGATGAAGAAGCAATACCAGACTTATTAGAGGCAAGCTTCATGCCACTAAAAAGCAAGATATGGTCTCTTAAGACATCACGAAAACTAAAAAAATTCCTATGGCAGGTTCTCTCAGGATGTATGCCTACATATAGTCTACTCACCATTGTGGGTTAGATCGAATGTGTCAGTAATGTGGTGCAGAGGATTAACCATATCCTGGTTGAATGTCTACCAACACTACAAACATGAGACTTATGTGTGATCCCTCTTTTCCAGAAATATTCCCGTGTACATCGGTCTCTCAAAACCTTTCATACCTTATTGGTAGAGCACCAGAGCAAGGAGTATTAGAGAAGATATTTGAAGTGTTTACTTGAATCCTCTGGTACATTTGGAAATCTTTGTACATTTGGAAATCTAGAAATAAAAAGGTCTTCAATGATAAAGAGGTAACCCCACAAATACTTTGGAGATAGCCATGAAGGAAGCTAAGTCATGGCGCCTTGCTCAGGCAGTAGAGAGAAGCGAAGGGAGTTACGAACACAGAACACGAGCCATAGACTGAAAGAGGACTCTTTAACATTCTCAAGATGCCAAGTGTATGCATCGTGGGTTAGAGATGGAGCAATGTTGGGGGGAAGACTCATACCAGAGCTAGAATACCAAAATTGTCAATTTGAACTATTCGCGAAAGATAGGTTTCTCTCACCTCTACAAGCAGAATTTGAGACTCAGTTATGGGTCATGAAGATAGCTTTATCTCTTCAGATTCTCTTAATACAATTTGAAACAAACTACTTACAACTGGTAAAACTGATTGAGAAAAAAGAAGAATGGCCACATTATCTAAGGAATTAGAAGAATTGGAGTTTCATAAAACCAGTTTTCATTATTTTTCATCTTTTTTATTCGAGATTACTGAATATGTTGGAACTCGCTTTTGACGAAATAGTTTAAGACTATTTTCGGTGAGAGTTCGGCGAAGATGTTTATTGGAAGAACCGGAGATTGCACAAGATGAAAACGTAACCGTGAACATTATTAAGTAGCGTAATCATATGTCAAAATTAAAATTGATTTGAATGAGCAATAAAGTTTATAATGGAGTGCTTCTAAAACTTATAAAGTTATATTTGTGAAATGTTCCACTTAAAATTAGAGATTAAATTCTTCTTATAGTGAAAAATTATAATAAGGTTTAAAAAATCTTAAGATATATTTAACTTTTACACTTATTATTTAAATTATTTATTTAGAGATAGATAAAAAAAAAATTCACCACCTTATGTTATCAGTCAAACCTAAACCGTTAAATTTTTTAATTAATTGTAGGTTAAAACGATGACATAAAACGGTAAAAATTATTAGTTTATTTTACCTCTATGGCATTACTTTCATGGATTTCTTTTTTGTTTTTCTTCGCTAAAGAGTCTTTCTCCTCCATTTAGTAGCTCTAAGGAGGACACACTTCCACATTTGTAACGGTGATACCTTAAGAATTTAGAAAAATTGGACGATTAAGAAAAGGGAAATGATGTGGCTCCCATGAGGTGAGGTGGAGCGATAAACCCAATGGCATCTCACGTGACACCCACGGTGGTTTCAGTTAAAGTGCACCACCGGGACACTCCTTGCCACGTGACCGGTGGGCTCAAAGGTCAGAGCCATGGACCAACTCCTGTCTGGCCCCTCCCAGTCCCAGTCACTCTCACTCTCTCTCATTTACTTTTCCTATTAGATGTGAAAATAATGGAATAAATCATTGCTTTTTCATCTCCGGATATTAGATTTCACCAATCCAAACTCGATATTGGAAAGTTTTTTTCCATCTGACAAGCGAGATATATAGAGATAGTGTGTGTGTGTTTGTTACTTTGGGATTTTCTAAAACTACGCAAAAAGAAAGAAAGACAAAAAAAAACCGATAAATAAATAGAAATGTTGCAAATGGAATCTCATAATGAGAGGCGCACATTTGCAAAATACAGGACCAAACTATATGATTACTAGCTACTACGTTTCGGTACTTCATTGGCTCCTACGTCTCAACAAATCAAATGAAAGACCTTTCTCTGTATTTTAAAACTGTAAAAGAAAGAAAAAGTAAATAGGTGACAAAGAAAATCTCATCTGAAAAAGTTAAAAACTAGATCGAGTAATTCAGTGACAGTTTTAAAGGTGGACAAGATATTCCGACATCACGGATTCAGAGCTTTTGAAATTTTTGTCTAAAAATTTCCAAAAACATTCGTTGTTTAAATAAAAATAGAAGAAAATAATGTATACAGAAATTTCGAAAAAACTACAAAATTAGAATTTAGAGGAAAAAAGATAAAAAGGAAAATAATAATGAGCATACAATAATTATTAAATTTCAAAAAGATGTACATATGTTAAAAAAGAAAGAGTAATTGTATTATATGACCATAGATAGTATCCAACTTAGGTTCATGCTTTAGTGCCATAGTTAGTGCATATTTTACATTTTTCTGGACTAAAATGCCCCTATAACAGTATATCATGTATATCGAATATATATAATTTTTTGTGGACCCCACACCTGCCAAACTGACAGCTATATCCAACGCTGGATTTTGGACTTTTATGCATACCAACATTTAATTATTATCTATTCAGAAAACATATTTTTTCTTGGACTTCGAAAAGTTTTTAAGTTTAGAACTCCTCACACTCTCTTCCAAAATCTCTAGTTTCTCTTTCGTTAGTATTGGATATTAAACAAGGAGAAAGAAGTGTCCGTACAAGTCCGTACACCTAGGGAACCGGGTCACTCAAGCTTGATCATCAAGTAAGCGTGACATTCAAGCTAGGTCTCCAACGGTCTTCTAGATGCTTGGTACTAGGCCTTCTACTCCAACGGTCTGATCTTGATAAACCAAAGAGATAAGGTCACATGTTGCCTTAAGGAGTCAACCGTTAGGACCAATCACTATCACTCTCTTGGGAACGAGATATTTGTTTATTATTAAGGTCATTGTCGCTTTGGTATATGTTGAAACCAAAGCTCTCTATAAATAGGCATTCAGCCTCCTTTGTAAAAGATTACTATACTATCCTTAACACACTCTCTCATTCTCTTACACTTTCGTTACTCACTCTTCATCTCTTCATTAAATCATTAAATCATTAAATCATTAAATCATTAAATCATTCTGCAAATTCTAAACATTGGACGGAGTCGGTCACTGGATGTTACCAAGTGAGATGTCGACAGCCCCATTAGAGATGGTATGTTTAATTTCAGATCTTTAGCACCGCATATTTACCCAATCTCAGTTGTTCTAATGTTTATATCTCACCCGTAGGAACCAATTGTTACCTTCTCCCCATGAAGTAATGGTGTCAACTTGTTAACAACATACTAGTTAACAGATAGAGACAAAAGCAATGGTGTTAACTTGTTAACAACATACTAGTTAACAGAGTGACCTAATAGTTACCTTCTCCTCTTGAAGGCGTATAATATGGCACAAACTGCATCGAGGGGTCAGTATAAGTTATCGTGGAGTCCATAATGCCTGCCATTGAAATGAAATATTTAACGTTGCCTATATATAAATATTATTAACAGTATAACTCAAACGACAACTGATACTATGTTATACCTGGCCATATTATATCACTGTTACTAAGTGGCCTGTGGTAACCACTGATATGGGGCTGAGTGAAGTTTGTATGTACGTGCCTCGGTTGCAAATATTGGTTGCTGCTTGATTGAAAATGAGATGGTCCATTACCACGGTTACCGAATATCGGTCTTGACCATCCACCCACCCGTGTTGGGTTAGTGCTAACGAAGTTAACATTCCACTCCGTTCTCATGGGAATAACTCTAACCCAGAGGAACACCTCTTCATTTATTGAAATTAAACATACTATCTTCCTAAAAGGAAGGTCATCCTCATAGAGGTAAATATGGCAATATATACAAATGCAACTTTTTTCCATTTCAACATTAACTGAGTCTATATATTAATATCACCCAAAAAGAAACATTATTATAGACTACAGAATATAAAAATTTCTAAAAACATTTGTTGCTTAGATAAAAAAAATAGAAGAAAATAACGTATACAAAAATTGGGAGAAAACTACAAAATTAGGATTTAGAGGAAAAAGATAATGAGCATACAATAATTATTAAATTTCAAAGGATGCACATACGTTAAAAAAAGAAACACTATTATAGACTACGGAATATGATTTAATATTGGTATATGTTGTAGCTCTATAACTTTTATTGCAGTTATCTATTTTAGTGTGTTGGCTTTGGCTAAAGAAAAGCTTCTTTTTTAACTTTTATAAAAGAACTCATAATGGCCTGACCCGACCAAGGATAGTTAAACCAAAAATAGCCAGGCGATCTAATTTTAGTAAATCATAATCTAGTTTCAAGTATGCGAGTATCAAATCGTATTTTAATTAAAAGTGTTTGAAAAGACAATTTTAAATTGATCTCTCTTTTCTTCTATTTCACTTTGCAGACTTCATTTATATTGGAGTTTGGTTAAAAGTTATTGTTCCATTAAACTCAACTTGTTTGTGTTCTGTAGTTGAAAATAAGAAATACGGTTATAAATTATTAGATAAAACAATCTATAATCTGAAAAACCATTTTTCTTAGTTGTAAAATTGTTGTAGCGTGACATAAATTAATTGGTAAATGCAGAACTTTAATAAAGATATTTGGACTATGTTATTTAACCAAACCTAAGTACGTTATTACAAACAATGCCCAAATATTTTATCTTCTTGGCCTTAAAATGCAGGTAGATTTTTATATAAACGTCAAACAAAGATGGTTTTAATCGAATTCCCTAGAAACCATCTAAACCGAGAATAAGAAAAATGTAAATGTAATCCATAAGAAGAGCAAGAAGATCCCAACACTATTCAAGAAGAGGCATCATCATCATCATCATCATCATCATCAAACATTAGCATTCCCTCTTCTTTGGACCGGTTTGTATATCACCACAGTGACATACTTAGTCCTGAACCGATGTGAGAAACCAAGTGCCACAACGGATCTTGGAGCGTCTCTGTTTTCGATATAGAGATGGTTCAGGACGACGCTCTGCGGCAGAGAAGCCAATTCCGTGGTGCCTGTATTGCCTAAGAGAGTGTGTTGAAGGTGTGGCGGTACAGCTGGAGGATCTCTTGTCTCATCTTCGGCTGCTGAATACACATTGTTGTAACTTGAAACCGGAGATAAAGGTACTTCGAATCCCACAACCGTTGTGTCCTCCTAAGTTTGAGAAGAAGATATAAAAGAAACGGAGTTTAAGCAGAGTGGAGACTAGAAACTACTATGTTTGTTGGTTCAAGAGAAAGGCTTGCTTACATGATCATCAGGATTTTGGTTGTTCATGTTGAATAAGATTGCCAACTAGTGCCTGAAACAGATATGATCATAAGTTAGCCGCAACAGTATGAGAACAAATCCACTTTAAGTCACACACACACAGTTCCATTCAAACCATTCTTGTTTGGATCTTGCAGCTTGGTTAAAGGAAAACACTATAGCAGAAATGAAAACCACAATGATGCAAACTCTTATTTGTGTGCGTAAGACTTTGTCTAATCGATAAGTTATAGTCAAATAATTCCTAAACCAGTAGACAAACCTAAGGATTCAAAGAAGCATACAGTTTTAAGAAAGCTGGACCAGAGAATGTACATCAATTTCTTTGGCATTATTGTTTGCCTATCCTTTCTTCAAAGTTAGTGTACTAAGCTGGACAAAAAGATTTCAAGAATCAATAGACCACAAGAGTTAGAAGTTGAAACATATTTGATCATTTTAAGTTTTTTACCATAACATAAACAAGTTGCAGGCAGACTTAAACTACAACATGATCAGTCCGTACATTCCAAAACCCACAAGAGAACCATTACATGAAATCAGTTTCACGGTTTTGATCTGACTAAAGTACAGACACAGATCATAAGAATGATGTCTAAGGTAGAAACCATTTAAGCTTATCAGCAAAATCACATCCGTAAGTTTTAGGGATCAAGTAATGATGTAAAGAGCATCCGAGATTTGAGGGCTTAATCTTAAAACCTAGAGACTGATACTTCCCACAAATTCAACTGGAAGATAGCAATCAATCGTATACTGACATAATCTGATGAAACACGCACTTAGCAACCATAGACAAATTGAAACACACTACTAAGTGTAAAGAAACATAACAATGAACACATGATCTGGAATAAAGAAAAAACTCACCTTTAGGAAGCTCAAGGACTTGAATTAGAAAACGCAGCAGCAATGGAAGTTTAAACGATTCCTATATCGATATTTTTTCACAAATCCTTAAAACCCACCTGCGAAAAACCATAAGTGACTAAGACCCATCAAATGATAACACAAGAACAACAACCTCACCAGAAAACCCTAGAAAAATCACCGGAAAATTTCTGAATTGATACTTTGGAATCAGCCGCAAAAAGATGAAATTATAAGCTATGGGTATTCGAAGTTCTTCGATATCAACAGAGATTTCGTAATCAGACAGGGGAAATTGTGAGGCTTTAACATTAAAAGAACGAAAGGAAGAAAACGAAACAGAGGAAGGCAACGAGAAGAGAGAAAAAAAGGGTTTTTTTTTTTTATTTTTACCTGAAAGATTTGTTTGTTGAATTGAATGATTGATTTATAGAGCTGTAAGCAGATAGTCTTCGTGCTCAGATCCTTGGAACGGTGACGAACAGAGACTGCGACAAGCATCAGCTTTTGGTGTTTTTGCTTATTGGCTCAAACTTTACTATACTGAGTAAACATATTCTTCTCTCTGAAAACATTTTTTTCTTCTTCTTCTAGGGAACCATTTTACAACAATTTCTTTCTTTTTAGTTCCTAATAAAAAATAACGAAAATTACTCTCTTTTTTTTCCTCTTTACGGCAAATACTCTATGGATTAAATTATTAAAATTCTGACAAATGAACTAAACTAATTAATTCTGATTAGAAACTTGGCCAATCCCATTGGTGTTCAATCATCTTCAGGAGATGTGATCATGTGAACAATCGGTTTCAAATTTCACCGAGAAAATGTTGTCGTCAATAAGAAAAATCCTTACAATTCTGTATGAAGGAAAATCACGAGGAGATATATTGCTAGTTGAAGGAAAATTGAGAAAAAATAAATATTTTCCATTGAAAAATCTTTTTTTTTTCCCGTTAGATGATAGTAATAAGGACTTTTTAGCCTAATAACTATATTTGAGAAAGAATTCAAGAATATACCTATATTGTTTAAAAAATTAGATAAGTAATTATGTTCCACAGAGAAATTACAATAAACTCCTTCAGTTTTAAATAGGAACATATACTAAAAGATATTTTATTCTGACGTCATTGATATACCATATATGGGAAGCGGCGAAATTGGCGGATGCTTTTCAACTGATCTACTCCCACCAGTTGTATGTCAGCCCCTGACCATCCAATGAAACGCCGATACAATCCTGTGGTGAAGTCAAAGTACATATGTGGTTTACTATACAACAGTTCTGGACTATACCATAGAAAAGTATATAGTATATCTTCGCCATGAATTAAGATAAATTTTATGTTATATATTACAGCATCCAATTTTGAAAACTGGGAAACCATGCACAAAATGCCACTACGTATGGGGAGTAGGGGTTTCTGATATTCTGGATCATATGGTTTTTCATTTCTATCGCATACTACAAGTTTATGACAGTATTTTGAATAACATACTATTTCTCAAATAAATAGTATAGACTTGCTGGAAAATTATGAAAGTGGTTCCAAAAAGATATGAAACATAGTTACGGAACTATAATACCGTTCAACTTACCCTCCACTTACATAGATATATAGTCTTCGCTTTGTAATAACTTAAACGAAGGGATTTTTGTATATATTATACAGAACTGTACCCAATAAAACGCCTCATACCATCCCGTGGTGAATTCAACGTACATATGTGGTTTACTATAAAACAATTCTAAACTATACCATAGAAAAATATATAGTATAGCTTCACCATGATTTAAGACAAATTTTATGTTATATTTTACAGCATCCAGTTTCGAAAATTGGGCGACGATGCACAACATGCCGAGTAGGGAATTTCTGATATTCTGGATCATATGGCTTTTCATTTTAAGGCATACTATAAGTTTATGACAATCTGAATCGTCAAACAAATAGTATAACCACAGACTCTTTCTATATAAGTGTCAAACATATGTTAAATTTTTTCCTTATTTTTTACAGCTAATGTCAGCAAATATCTTTCAATCTAGTTTAAACTAAGGATCTTTCTGTATATATTATAGAATATATAAACAATATAGCATCTACTTTGGTATGGTTATTTGTTAAATTTAGGTCCTACGACCCAATTTCCCTAGTAATAAATTGCAAAATTTAAAATACTGTTGTGAATAGAGAGAAGAGAAAGAAGGAATTGTGTTGTGTTATTCCAATGAATAAGTGGTCATTTATATAGGAGTAAAAAGAGAGGGTTTTACTTGGTGACAAAATCAAAACCTAGCTTACAAGTAACTCTAGAACTTTCTAGAAGGTATGCCTTATGGGCTTATAATGGACATCACATAATAATTCATAACACTCCCCATAGATGTTCATTATACAAACTATTCTTTAAAGCACGTAGGATGCTGCCTCGTTAAAAACCTTGCTAGGAAAACCCAGTGGGAAAAACCATAGCTAAGGGAAAAAGAGTGCAATGCGCATTAACTCCCCCTCATGACTACATCACTTGATATCTTTGAGATGACGCAATCTAATACAATGAGATAACTTCTTAAAAGTAACGCTTTGGTAAATTTTTCTGTTGAATCTTCACTTGAATGAATTTGTAGGATACATACGTCGCCATTCTTCTGCAATGCATGACTCTTGATAATGATTCGTCTTGATCATTCTCTTTACTTGATCTTATTAAAGTATAACAAATACTTTGGAAGGGTGATAAACTTTTCATCTTTACATTTCTCTTTAGATGTATATCATTTGTGTGTTCTTTTTTGCCTTATTAAAACCTTTCATGGAAAAACCCAATGAGATAAAAACCATGATAAGGAAAAAGAGTACAACCGCACACATCATCATATTTCTCCCCCTTGGAAGTATCTTCTTCAGGAGATGCATTCCAATCATATATACCATCTTTCGGCAATCATTATAAGTATAAGCTTAATGAATAAACTCGTATGATTATCTTTTTTTTTATCTCTTAGGTTACTGGACTTCTTGTCCATAACAACTTTTTCATATAAACAACTATTTCTTGATCTTTTGAACTTCAAGCCTAAGCTTCATTTAACTTACAACATTCTAAAGTTGTATGGTACATACTTATACATAAGATGTTATTCATGCTCTTCTTTACTATTTTAGCTTTTTTCTTGTTATACTAAATCATATCTTTCAATCATGAAATAGATAAATACATTGCTCAACTAGCAATTTAAGTATTATTCAGGATCAAAATATTGTGAGCATTCTTTATGTAAATTCTTCAAGGATCATTTGAGATAGTATCTCTATCACTTAAATATCTCAATTTGGAACACTTGAAGACAATGCCATCTTTTGATTCTTTTCCAAAGATTATTCTTCCAAATTACAATTTGGGATAACTCTTCAAGAGATTTGATTATATTTAAATCTAGGATCCTCTTGATCCACAATCTTATGGTAAATACATACGAGTATATTGGTTAACCTTATAATATTCACTTATACCACATAAAATATTTTTGTCTTAATTTGATCGAATAATTAAAATCTTCAGGAACGTAATTTTGACAATCTTAATCTTTCGGGAATTTGTATCCTTCTGGGATTTTATTTAAGTTTCATTATCCAATGGGTAGTATAACTCAAGTTCTTCTCGTATTGCCAGACTGATAAAGAACTTGAAAGTAGTTGCATCCACCACATAAGAGTTTGTCTCTTCAAATTTAATTTCATATTTATAATTTTTTCATATAAAGTCTTCTTTATATCCCACTGGATTTACACCCTTAGGTATATGGACAACTGGTCCAAATATTCATCTCTTTACAAGAGATTTTAACTCTATGACTATTGCTTCTTTATAATTTGGCCAATCATTTCTCTGTGTACACTTTGCAATAGATTTTGTGATCCTCTTTCTCATTTATCATATCAACTGCTACAGTGCATGCAATAATATTTACGATATCGTTTTGCTTTTCGGTTCCATTTTATTCTAGACATGACATAACTTGTTGAGATCGATCTCTTTATTGTCTCAGGTACCTGACTTTCTTTCTTGTCATGTTTAATGTCTCTTCTTGAGATCATTCAAAAATCTATCTCCTCACTCTGACCATTGTCAATTCTGCTCCTTTTCTTTTCTGAGGATATTTATGTTTGGAACCAATAAGTCTATCACGCTTCATGCGTTCTTTAAACTCTTTAGCAGCTTGATATTGTCCTTCTGGAACATTAAATTTTATTAGAGCCTTTATAGCTGGTATGTGATCTTGTCACTCTATTTGGATCAGTAAATATTTCTGGCAACTGGTTTTTTAAACGTTGTAAATGAATTATCTTTTGGACTTTCATTCACATTCTTTAGTCTGAGGATCAATGATAGTTCATTCCAACTTATCTTTTCCAGCTGTTTCTTTTCTCCCCCTGATGTTGGAATTACTGATATATTAAAATGACAGTCTACAAATCGAGCCTAATAAAAATCCTTCATGGATGGACTCTACATACTTATTTATCAATGGAGATTTATATCCAACATATATTCTCAACCTCATTTGAGGATCCATCTTATAATGTTGTGGTGGAGCAATGTGGATATATACTGTACATCCAAATCATTTAGATGGAAAATATTTGGTTTCTGACCCAAAGTCAGATTTGATGGGAGAACTTTGATTACTTGTTGGCTTTATGCGAATTAATACTTCTGGATTTTGTGTATGAACATTTGCTATTATATGTTCAATATTTATCTTTATGATTTTATCATCAAAGGCTTAAGACGTGAATTTACTAACATTGCCAAGGGGTCTAGCAAACTTCTAGTTGCAGATATTCAATATAATAAATTACTTAACCATAAACTTTTCCTTGTAAACTTTCTAGGAAATGATACAGATTTCAAATCTATTTTGGCTAGTGAAAATCATAATATTATATTTGTCATATGATTAAATCATTAGGAAGAATCTTCAAGTTCTTCAATGGGTGTCTATAGACCTATTGATTATTTCTGCATATTTCTTGAACCGGAATGGTCTAACTAGCTCATGCCAAACTATGTTATATTCCTTAAACTTCTGGTTAACTATATAACATTGATCTCCATTATACAATCTTTATATATTACAATCTATTAGAGAGTGTATGTAATTTCTCCAAAATACTTTTACTGCATTTAGTAATACTCTAGATTTGAAGGTATTCAAATTTTCCTTCTTTATTGTCTTAGCTTGATTAAATTTGAAATCCATTAAAATTACCTTATAAATGATTCATCAAGATCATTTTGACTTTGAACATAATCTTCTAGATGTTTTACTTACTATGGATTGTGGGATTCATCAATTCTCCCCCTCAAGATGATGACACTTCAGGTTCATCTATTTTGAATTGAATCTCAATCTAAAATCAATAACATATCCAACTTGGATAATGTCTTATATCTTTGATTCTTTAAACTTTTGAGATTTGGGAGATATAATGCATTAATAATTGCATTCCTACTGGCAAATATATCTATTATTCTAGAGCTTTCAATAATCTATATATTACCAGATCTTGTACTCACACTGGTTTATTTCATCTTTAGACAAGAGATTTACCTCTTGTTTATACCATCTTTTTTTTTCTCACTTCTTGTAAGAATTTAAGTTCTTGAAATAAAACTTTTGATCTAGACCTTGATCATATCCATTTCATATTCACATTCATGACCACTTCTTAAGCCAGTTCCTTGGCTAATTTTATTAACATGATTCTTTTTCTATCCCACTATATAATGTCACATTCTCTTCAAGGAATGGATCATAACTAATTAGATAAAATTCATGACTTTTTATGAATAACTCATTTATCTTTTCAAAATAGTTCTTTAACTTCATTTCATATTGTCTACAAGACAATATTATTTGTCTAAGGATTAGAATATGTCTTCTAGCATCTCTAGATTAGTGATATTCTCTTCACATAATCTTCAACATAATAAGAATTATTTACAGACTTCAAGTCTTATAATCTTAGATGTAAAGACTCATAATGAGCTTTAGGTAATATCACATTATAGTGATTATACTTTTCCTTAGATTTATGTAAAGAACTTAGGGATCTTTTATAATCAAATACAAAATATTCATATAAATAATAGTAGAAAAATAACTATTATACAACTACAAATGTATAAACAAAAGCATATTAAACCAACTAAATCAGTGGCATGTACCATCTCTATTATCACTTCAAGTGACAATTTGAATTTTTTTAAAAAGCTTAAAAGAGAATAAATAATTTTAAAATACTTCTCAAAATATATTTAATGTTATTGTGTCTGCAGGACAACAATATTTATTTAATATTTTCTAGCATATTTGTATCAAAGATATTATCTTCATTTGAGACTTCAAGTCATGTGGTCTTAGATGCAATCATCAATAATAAATTAGGTCATATCACATTCTGGTGATATGCTTTTTCTTTAGATTGCTCTATAATCAAATACATAATCTTAAGCTAATCAAAGATATTATGACAGAAAAAATATAATTATATATAAGATATGACTAATATATTTAATTTAAATAAAGATAATATGCCATAAAATAACTCAATCAATAAATCATCAAAAGAGATTATATAATAAAATATGTGCCAATTTCGTGATCATGAGAATAAACAAATTTTGATACAACAATGCAAATCTCGTGAGAACATACAAGCCTGGTGCAATAATTTTGTGCAAAAATCGGGATATATATGCAAAACTCGTGAAATTCTAATCAATTTAAGATAAACTGCCATTGCAAAATTTAGATAATCATATATGTGCAAACTCCGGGTTAACACTGAAAACAGAAACTAGTGCAAATTTTAAAACATAAATCTAGATCTGAATAATGACATAATAAAATCCGTGCAAAGTTCGTGTAAAAACGATTTTGTGCAAAAACAATATGAAAAATATTCGATTTAATGATTATGTGCAGAAACAATATAAGGCAATATTCGATTTTAATGAATAAGATTCAATTTAACAAATTTCGTGCAAATCATGTGCATAAATAATATAAGCAATATATGATTTTAATGAACAATATTCCGTTTAATATATTTCTTGCAAACTATGTACAAAAACGGAATAAAATATTTGATATGCAAATAATGTGCAGAAATAATAAATTTAATTTAATGAATAAAGACATGTTTATAAATATCAGGCAAAAATATATTAGTAAAACATGTGATTTGAATCTCTACCGGAGAATTTATCAATTATAAAAATAATAATAATAAAATAATTATATGATTTAAATCTCTGCAGGAGAATTTATCATAATATCAATCATAAATATAATAAAATAAATATATAAATTGAATCTCTACAAGAGAATTCGTCATATTAAACATATAAGTTGAATCTCTACAAGAGAATTCATCATAATAAACATATAAGTTGAATCTCTACAAGAGAATTCATCATAATATTGATTATGTAAATCTCTTCAAGAGAATTACCATAATATTGATCTTTTAAAAAAAAAAATTAATAAATAAACATATGATTTGAATCTCTGCAGGAGACTATCATAATACTGATTAATGATCTATTCTTACAAACCATGAGTTGATAATAAACATGATTTGAAGTTGGAATGAATAAATTCTAAAAAGCAAATTTGTATACCTCTTAGCTCAGACAGCTAGAGTTTCGTGCTGATAACGTGTTGTGAATAGAGAGAAGAGAAAGAAGGAATTGTGTTGTGTTATTCCAATGAATAAATGGTCCTTTATATAGGAGTACAAAGAGAGGGTTTTACTTGGTGACAAAATAAAACTTAGCTTACAAGTAACTCTGGAACTTTCTAGAAGGTATGCCTTATGGGCTTATAATGGACATCACATAATAATTCATAACAAATACAAAATTTTAGTAAAACTATATTCTTGAATCCCATACACAGCGGCAAGAGGATTGATTATGTATAAGATAAAATTAGTGAACTTATTTCAAGCTCAAACAAACCACTCGAGGCCGCAACGGGAGACAGAGGTCAAGCTCTCGGCCCATTTAGCATACAAGCCCATACAGACAACAAGGCCCACAATTTAGAATTGTCAATCCTCACTCACGTTATGTACAATGACCATGTCCTGTGTCTTATGATGATCAATCAATACAACAAAGACACAAATGTCTCTCCTGGTGAAGACATATCAGCATTTTGGAGCTTTCTGAAGATGACATTTCAGCAAAAAAATTCACCAATCAAATTAAAACATTAATACACATCACCCATTTCATTTATCATCCATTTCACTTATAAAAGCCCAAAAGATAAAATATACATACCCATCTATAAACTTAATTAAACTAACACCAATTTAAACATTTTATTAATATACGTCATCTACTAACATTTATTATTTTTAACTTAAACCCATTAAAAACCCAAATATTTTTCTTTGTTAATCATTGTTTTATTTTTGCCAAACTCAAGCCCAAAATAAATAACAGCAAATAAAAAAATTGTTTTATTTTTTATCATCCCCAAATCCAAATAATAAATAACAACAAATAAAAAAATTAAATCTTCGTTTTATTTTTACGCCAAATAATAAATAACAACAAAAAAATTAAAATTTCTAACTATATGTTTACTTAATAGAGACGTATATGATTGAAGAAAGTGTAGACTCATCATTAATTATGCTTCCATAACAACAACGCAAAAAACATTATGTTATAAGAAGCTCACACATCAACAAAAATTTGAACCAATAAAAATATAACAATAATACATATCATTAACACACTAATAAACTCGGATTAACATTTTGCTCACCCATTAAAAAGCCCAAAATTTTACAAAAAATGGAAGTCGAAAGCAAATGAAGAGAAGCCCAGACCACCATAGCTTGCATATTCGCATTTCCAATAGTTACCGAGAACAAATTTTCTTCGATTTAGCGGGAATAGAAAATTTCTTGGTTTCGGTAGGAAAATATGATTTTCAGTTTTGGTAGGAAAACATAATTTCTCGGTTAGGGCCGAAAAAGTAAATTTTTGGATTTGGCGGAAAAATGTGAATTTTTGGTTTTGGTGAGAAATAAAAATTGATTTTGACGCGAAAACAAAATATATTAGTTTCGACAAGAAAATGCGAGGAAAATGCAACTTTTCAATTTTGACAAAAAATACGATTTCTCAGTTTTGATAGGAAATGCAAATTTTTGGATTTAAATGGATAATGTGATTTCTTGATTTTCGCGAGAAAATATAATTTCTTAGTTTTCACGGGAAATTGTAGTTTGACAATCTTGGCGGAAAATGCAATTTCTTGGTTTGATGGGAAAACAAAATTTCTCGATTTTGGCGGGAATAAACAATTTCTCGGTTTTGATGGGAAATGCAAATTTTCAGTTTTTTACATATAAAATGATTTTTTGGTTTTCACGGGAAAATATGATTTCTTAGTTTTCGCGGGAAACGCAATTACTCAAAAGATAATGCACTTTTTTGTTTTCGTGGGAAATTGTAGTTTATCGATTTTGGTATGAAGGCGAGATTCTTGGTTTAATGAGAAAAATATTTTTTTTTTGTTTTGGCGGAAATAGATGATTTTTAGTTTTAGTGAAAAAATACTTTTTCGGTTTTGACGGAAAAATACGATTTTGTTAGTTTTGCAGGAAGATGAATTTTTTTTGTTTTGGTGAAAAACAATTGATTTCTCAATTTGGCGGGAAAATACAAGTTCTCGCTGAAAAATATGAATATTTGTTTTCCGGGAAAATGCAATTTCTTTGTTTTGGAAGGAAAATGAATATTTATGTTTGACGAGAAAATAATTTTTTTTTTTGTTTTGGCGGGAATAGGCAATTTTTTGGTTTTTGTAAAAAGATAAAATTTATTTGTGCTAAATTTTCAAATTTTAATATTTTAATAGTAACCCAAATTGAATTATTTAACTTCAACTAAAATGATATTTCAATAGTTCAAACAAAATTTTCTATTTAGTTCTAAAAGAATAGCAATGATTTTGATATGAATGTTATTGATTATAGTTTGGTAGTTTTAGAAACATATGTTTATAATAAATATTTAATAATTAAGTAAATTTTATAATTTAAAATAATTATATTAATTAATAAGTTTTAAATGGCAATTTGCTTTATATAATTTCAAAGGAGGATCAAGTGGCAATTTATTAAAAAAATAAATTACATTTGCCATTAGCATTAAAATTTTATTGTTTTATTCTTACATATACATTTATAGATAGTTAGCTAAACAAATTTGATGGTAGATTATAATTTTGAAAAATAAAAAAATTAAGAATATATAATGTTTATTCAAATTTAAAACATATAAATACACAACTTAAGCTAATAAAAAATAAATATAATATTCATTTATATTATAAAAAATAATTTTATTATATTAAAAATTTATACAAAATCTAGAAAAATATCATGCAGCATATCGCGGATAAATACCTAGTCTGAATCAATATAAGTAGTTTGTGAATTTATGTTTGAAATCTACTTAAGCAATTACAACTTATATTATAACTTACATGTCACGAAATTATTTGAACGTTCCAATCTACTTAAGTAATTACAAAAACCAACACCATTGATAATGAATTGCACCGATGAAAATCTACTTAAGCAGTTTGTGACCAATGGAATTTCGGTTGAAGACTTCTACTAACTCATTTGGTTTACCATTATCTTGGTTATAAACAAAACCATTCACAATTTGTTAAAAATCCAATATAGGAATATAACATTAATTTATTTTGGAAATGAGTTTAATTTCTAATAAGTCACCACGATATTATATCACAATTATTAATTCTAATATCTATTCAGAAGAATCAATACAACAATAACCCTTATGTCTTTCCAGAGAATGACACATAAGCATTTTCAAAGTTTCTTAAGTTGACACATCAGTATAAATAAAAAACGAATCAAAATAAAATATTAATACACATCATATAATATTATTTGACATATAGATAAATTCTTTTTTTTCCAAATCCATGAAAAAGCCCACTAACTAACAAAAACATATTAATTAGGGAGAATTGGCAAAATACCTTATTTAAGTTTTTAAATTTGAAAAGTACACTGTTAGTTAAATTTTTAAAAATAACACTTATTTAATATTATATAAAAATAAATAAGTTTTTCTTTACTTAGCTTAAAAGAGATATTACATATTTTAATAAATTAAAATTAAAATTCGAATTATTAATATTAATTTATTTGAGAAATTTAAAATTTAAAATTATTAATTATTATAATAATAATTTATTTTAGACAATTTTAAATTCGAAATTATCAATTTAAATATTTGAAAATTCATCTCTAACAAAAAAATAGTTTATTAGTGTATTAATTAGATGTTTTTTTAACTATAATTATTTTGGTCCATCATAAAATTTCAAAGAATTAGATCTAAATAAAATTTAGTAAAAGACCAAATCAAATGATATATGAATTGCAATGATGATTCAAATTCCAAAATCATGTGTCTTCATTTTTTTATTCATTTTTATATATTTATTTATATTTTTAATTAAAATATTAATCAAATTCCAAAATCAAGTGTCTTCATTCTTATCTTCATTTTATATATTTATTTATATTGTAATTAAATATTTAAGGTATTACCAATTTTTAGTTAGATTAATTTAGACATTTCACTAAAAAATTAAGCATAGTTAAAAAAATGAACAATTGTATAGTTTTCAAAATACAATCTCTTTTGAAGGTATTTTTCTAAATTTTCTCTATTAATTAATATATCAATTTAGTGGATTAGTTTAAGAGTACCTAAATTTAGTCATAACACTGATAATTAGTTTTCAAGATTAGAAACAACTACATACGTAAGCATCAATATAAAATCAGTGTAATAGTGTTTGAGTTATATACTTATATTCTTTCATCCATAAACTATATACTATATGTTCATTATATATATATGATAAAATATATAATTAATTCTATCAAATCTATTTGTAGCACAGCCGTGAAGGTCTGAACATCACCACACACTCTTTCTAAAGAAATAGAGATACAATATAGGACGGAGTGAAATTTTCAACATAGCCTAAGGTGATCAAGGATATATATTTACAATCGTATCTGGTAAATGAAGCATCCATGTGCTTACAATCGTATCTGGTAAATGAACCGTTTATAAAAGAACTTGATGTTGATTAAATTTTAGTAAAAGAACTTAGATTGAACTTCATCAAGTTGGACATGGTATCCTATTCACCAAATTTATGTTCACATATTAAAGATCCATTTATAATATATATATATATATATATATATATATATATGTGAACATAAACTTACGTTTTCTAACCATTTCGAAATCAAACAAAAATTGATGGACGTTAAAAAAATAAAAACCATGGGTTTAGTCGGTTTGGACAAGTTAGTCGATTTAGAACATTTTGCTTATCGGCACCGGTTTCAGAGAATGTCAATTTTGTAACTTTAAAAATAATTTGATTCAAGAAAATGGAGCAAACTTTAGAAAAAGTTAACTCATCGAAAAAGAGGTATATATCATTTGAAATAGAAATAAAATAGTACAATTTTGATGGAAATTTGTTGAAAATATTGAAAGAAAAATTATTATTTTCTCTTAGAAATTTATTAAAAATTTACAATTGTAACCGAAGTTAAAGAACACCAAAAAAAGAAAAATTTGAAAATTGGTAGAAGAAAAATGAACGTTAGATGATAATGGTTGAAAATACTAAAAAAATAAGAAAAATGAATGGCTAAGTATAACAATTGATTTATTATTATTTTTGAAAGTAAGAGAGACATGATTTTGTCTAAAAAAGAGAGTGGCATGATTATTTATAAGAATAAAAATAATAGAAACATAAGTATTATAAGAAAGGTTTAGTAGAATAGATTAACGAAAATTGAGACAAAAAAGATAAGTCAAAGATAACCAAACTCATTGTGCACTCAGTGTAATACTAAGATAGACAAATTACATGGCTATTTAGTTGAGAATGATATCATAGATGATTAAAAGATAGTAAGTTATACCAGTGATCGAATAGAAATACCGAGACTAAGAAAGAAATGTGATATTCATAGAATAATTAGTAAGGAGAGCAGCTAAATTATATTCATTAAAAAATAATATAATTTTGAAAAATATAGTGTGAGTAAAAGAAAATAAATGTAAACAAATTCAAATATAAATAGATAACATGTTAGTTTTGAGTGAGGTATGAATAAATAATGTATTCAAATTAAAAAAAAAACTTAAAAAATAAATAGATACATTTTTAATAATGTATAAAAAAATTAGACGCTGTTAGAGAGTTGGAAAAAACTATAAATTAAACAAAAAATATAATTACATTCTTATTTGATTTTGTTTAAAATAATAATTATTTTCAAAATCTTATATCATTATACAAAAATAATAATAATAATAATATTAAAAATATTAAAAATTTATTAATTATATATAATTAAATTTTAATTAAACTATTTATTTCTGTATCTATTTTTATTTACTAAAATATGATATAAATTAATAAAATAAACTATAAAAAATCCTGCAGCATCGAGCAGATATATACCTAGTGATCCCAAAAACTTGAGACTTTCAACTTTCTCCTTTCTCGTCAACGTCACCCATAAGCTTCCCTGCAACATTCACAAGATTAAGAGAAATATTTTCACACGATAAGTAGTTTGAGTTTGAAATGTAGTGACTAAAGTTCTTTGCTTTCATCTTAAACAGCAAAACGAGAAACAAGATCATACTTAAAGAGAGGTTTATGCATCGTCACCTTTTAAAGATGGGTTTTCTTTTTCGGCTTGTGCAAAAAAAAGCTTGGCTTTGTGTGCTACTTCGGCTTCAAGAACTGCCTCCAGCATCAAATCAGATCCTCTTGCACACTCTGCAACCAAACGAATTAAGATAAAACTTTCTCAAAAGTCAAAACCAAGACGGCAAAAACGTTTTGATCTTTCTACCTTTGCGATGAGGGAGCAACTTTGCCATTTTAGCTGAAACTGGAAGAACATGTGAGAGACTTGAATCGCTGCTTAGAGTGTGAGTTTTGCCACTAACAGTCTTAGATAATCTTTCAAATGTTGTTGCTTGGGCGTGTAGATTAACCGAAGACAAGCCACTAAATTCTTGAGCCTTTAAGGACATAAAAAGAGAGAGAAGAGAGTATAAATGACACACAATTATATAAGAGAAAACAAAAATGAATCAAGAAGAGACCTTTGTCCAATGATCTGCACTCTTCTTCTGTCTTTCTTCAACATTGTTGACAGATGTAACATTCCCTAAAAACGATAGAACAATATAAGAAGCAAACCACAAGAACAAGAAAGGAAAAAGTAACGAGTGTGGTTTTATACATTATATACCATTATTGGTGCTTGGATTAGATTCTGGAGAATGGTTCTCCACTCTTCGAGTCAAAGGACTTGAATTGAACAGAGAGAAACTTGCTCCATGGCTAATAGCATCCACTTGTGCTCTCAAATCTTGAACTTCTTTCGAAATCTATGAGAGCCAAAGCAAGAATGAGATACACATAAGAATTTGCCTACTGATTCTTACATACAAAACCCTCAAAAAATCTCTACAAAACCCTTTTGATCAAACATTGTTGAAAATTTGAAAAATTCAAGAAGAGAGAAAGAGAACCTCTTGCATTTGAGGTTGCTTCATGACGCCATCTATGTGACCACGAGCCATTTGAATGTAGCCTATAGCTCGTCCGAACAATCTTCCTCCTGTTCTAGCGATAATCGGAAGATCCTTCGGCCCTGAAAATTGGAATTCACTGAGTCGGAATAGTTTTGTGATTTAGTATCGAAGCCTTTCAATTATCACTCAAATTAGCATGTAAGATCGATGACTTTAGCAGAAGAACACAATGATCGAACAGAAATGATTCTATGGGATTGAAGAGGCTAACCTACAACAGCAGCAGTGGCGCCGATGATGATTAAAATCTCGCCGTAAGAGAGCCCAAGCATTGCTTCCTTCTCCGGCGTTCGATCGCCGGTTTTCCTCTCGCCGTCTTTGGTTTCTTCTGCATCGGTGAAGCAGGACACTTTACGAGGCCGTATCAAATTGTATAATTTGGTTAAGTTCGGTTTAGTTAATTTGTGATTTGATTTTGGTATTGTACGGTAACGTAAGTGTATATAAACCGTGTAATATTTTCATGATATTTTCGTAATCATTTTCATGATATTTTCGTTTGTCACTTCTATTATGGTATTAGAGCTGTTTAATTCATTGATTTCACTTTTTTTTTCTTCGAATTTCTTCGTTCTTCACCTATTATTCGTTCATATTGTGCTTAATTAATCATCTACGTAAGCAATTTTGGTGACAATGATAAAGAAAGGGGGAAATTGAAGACTGGCGGTGCAATTATTGAAGATAAAGATTCAGCTGTCAAATCTAACTATAAATCAGAAGCTTTTGATGAATCAGATGAAACAGTGGTAAAACAACAACAATACACTAGATCGGTGAACATCAGATCACAGAATTGATCGACAACATTTATAGTCTTTTTTTCTTTCATTCATCGGATCATCCAGGTTTATTGATTGTTGCACATATTTTAGATGAGAGTAAATTATAATAGCTGATCTATGACTATGAAGATTAATCTAGATACAAAAAATAAAATCAGTTTCGTAGATGAATCTTTGTTTATAACTTTGTATTTTCAGAAGATGATTATTACTTCAAGATCTGGAGTCGTTGCAACAGTATGGTGAAGTCATGAATCCTTAATATGGTGAATAAAAAAATTTATGATATTATCAAAATGATGTTGAGATGTGGAATGATTTATTCAGTAAGTTCAAGGTGAACAATCTATCTCAGAAGTATCAACTCGAACAAGCTGTGATGACACTTAAACAAGGCTCGCTTGATCTTTCAGCTTATTTCATGAAGAAGAAGACTTTTTGGGAGCAACTTGGTTACAAAAAATCTCACACCATGAAGAAATGCAACTGTGATCAAGTTAAGGAGTTACTTGAGGATGCTGAAACAAGCCGTATCATCCAGTTTCTCTTGTGATAAAATGATAACTTCAACAAAATATGTGGTTAGCTTCTCAACATGAAACCATGACCTGCTTTGAAATTTACAATATGTTGGATCAGGATGAGAGTCAGCGTGCTGTTGGTTTCGCTTCAAGACCTTCATTTGTCCATTCCGCATTTCAAATTCAAGGGGTTGATCAGGAGAATAACGCCATCATAGCTACACAAGGCTAGTTTCAAAAGCCAAAGTGTTCTCATTGCAACAAGATTGGTCATACCATTGATAAGTGTTACAAACTTCACGGTTTTCCTCCTGGACATCCAAAGGCTTCGAAGAATACCTCTTTGGGAAGTACGAACCTCACTGATGTGGAACCTCTTCAATATCAGAAAGGAACAGGATTTGAAGATGTAAATGAATTGATGTCAAAATATCAGATACAACATAAGATTTCATACTTGATTTCCAAACTTCAGTCTCCTAGCATGAGTTCTTCACACCCTGAGAAATCTTCTCCCTCCACTTCAAACTCTGCACCATTTATCTCTCAGATATCTGGTACTTTCCTTTCTCTATATGATTATACATATTATGACATGCTTACTTCATCTATATCTCATGAAACTAAGTTATCTCTTAGAGCTTGGGTAATAGATTCAGGAGCTAATCACTCATGATAAGGGTTTGTATAAGGAGTATAAGTCTTTACATAGAAATTTTGTTAAATTCCTGAATGGCTTTACTGTTAAGATAGAAGGAACTGGTTTTATCCAACTCAATGAGGCTTAAGCTTTGCATAACATCCTTTACATTCCTAAATTCAAGTTTAACTTATTGAGTGTTAGTGTTATGACTAAGACATTGGATACTAAAGTGAGTTTTACTTCTGATTCTTATTTTATTCAGGCTCTTACTCGGAAGTTGATGATTGGTCACAGTAGTCAAGTTGTAAGTTTATATGTCCTGAATCTCGATAAGTCTCTAGTTAACGTGTCTTGTTCTACTTTACCAGGTACTACCTCTGTTTGTGATGTTGTTGATTAAAAGATTAGGACATCCTTCTATAGACCAAATTACTTCATTATCTGATGTATTGTCATTGTCGAAACAGAAAAATAACAAATCATCTAATCATTGCCATATTTGCCATTTGTCTAAACCAAAACGTCTTGCTTTTATCGCAATAATATGTGTAGTGAACCATTTCAAGTGATTCATATTGATACATAGGGTACTTTCTCCACTCCCACTGTTGATGGTTTCAAATACTTTCTCACTATAGTAGACGATTTTAGTAAAGCAACTTGGGTTTATATGCTGAAACAAAAATCTGATGTTTTACATGTGTTTCCTGGTTTTGTTGGCTGAGACTCATTTTAACAATAAAATTTGTTATGTTTGCTCTGAAAATGCTAATGAATCGAATTTCATTATTATGTACTTGAATTAAAGGAATAAGTCTTTCCATTCTTGTCCTGAAACACCTGAACAAAACTCTGTGGTAAAACGTAAACACCAGAATTTACTGAAAATTGCTAGAGCTTTAATGTTTCGATCTGGTATTTTCTTGCTTTATTGGGGTGATTTTATCGTAACTGTTGCTTCCCTTATCAATCGTTTTCCTAGTCCAATGTTAGATAACAAGTCTCCTTATGAAAAGCTAATGTCTAGGATTCCATACTATACTTCTCTTAGAACTTTTTAGTTGCTTATGCTACTGTTTTACATCGACTAAGTGTAGAACCAAGTTTTATCCTAGAGCTAGAACTTTTGTCTTTCTAAGTTATCCAACAGGGTGTAAGGGGGTATACGCTACTAGGTATATAGACACACTCAGTTTCTATTTTAAGGCATATTATTTTTCATGAGGATATCTTTCCTTTTAAATATTTCACTATCTCAGATGATGCAAAACATTTATTTCCTCATCTTCATTTCTCTGCACAAAATGATGAACCCCTGCCTCTTGTGCAATCATCGTCTGATGCTCATCATATTCCTGATGAGTCATCTTCTTTGGTTTCTGTTCCTTCTGAGCTTAAACCAATACAGCAAAGAAAAACGCATTCCCATTTGCAGGACATTCATTGTTACAAATACTCCTTATCTTATGATCAACTATATTTCTTATTCATATCTATCTAAACCTTTCCGTGATTTTATTAATATTATTACTATAATTCATATACCACAAAAATATTTGGAGGCAAAGAAAGACATGGTGTGGACTAATGCTTTGGGAAAGGAATTAGGGCTTTTGTCCGGATAAAGACAAGGAGTATTACTGACTTACCACCTGGTAAAGTGGTAGTGGGTTGTAAATGGGTTTTCACCATCAAATATCATGCTGATAGAAGCATGTTACAAGGCACGTTTGGTAGCAAAGGGGTATACTCAGCAAGAGGCAATTGATTTCATTGACACCTTCTCACTCATAGCAAAGATGGTAACGATGAAGATCATCTTCCACCAGTGTATGCTGAGATTCGGGGGGAATCTGTGTCACCAAATGTTGTTTGTCATCTCCACAAATCCATCTATGGCCTCAAACAAGCCTCACGATAATGGTTTATCAAGTTCTCTACCACTTTGGTCCGTCTTGGATTTAAGAAGTGTCATGGTGATCATACATTATTTGTTAAGGCTTGTGATGATAATATATCGTTGACTTGCTGACATATACTAGCTTTATGGATTGTAAGCCCTCTTCTATTCTCATGGAACCAAATCAAAAAAATTCTAAGGATGATGGTAACCTCTTGGATGACTCAAAACAATACAGGAAGCTAGTAGGGAAGCTGTAATATTTGACCATTACGTAGCCTGGCATTGCTTTTGCTGTTGCCAAACTTGCTCAATATTCTTTTGCTCCTAGAGATTCTCACCTTTAAGCTGTCCATAAAGTACTTTGTTACTTGAAAGGTACAATTAGTCAAGGGCTCTTCTATGGAACATAAGCCAACTTTGATCTTTATAGGTTTTCTGACTCGGATTGGAGTGCTTGTTCAGACACTAGGAGATCTGTGATTGGTTATGCCATGTTTATCGGTAATTCTCCAGTCTCCTGGAAATCTAAAAAGCACTAGATGGTTTCTTTAAGTTCCACTGAAGCAGATTATAGAGTCATGTGTATGGTGGCTAAATAGTTGATTTGGATTAGTCAGCTTCTTAAAGACCTTCGTGTTCCTTTCTCACCACCAGTTTATCTCTATAATACAGCTGTTATGCACATTGCGAGAAAATCTATCTTTCATGAAAGGACAAAACATATAGAGTTCGAATGTCATAAAATGAGGGAAGTGATTAATAATAATCATCAAGACCATGTTTGTACGGATGGATAATGAGCTTGCAGATGTACTTACGAAAGCCCTCTATCCAATTCCAATTCAGGATAACATGAGCAAGATGGGTGTTCATAATATTTATGCACCTTCATCTTAAGGAAACATATAAAATTGTATAATTTTGTTAAATCTGGTTTACTTTATTTGTGATTTGGTTTTGGTAGTGTAAACTGTTGTACCGTAAGTGTATATAAACTGTGTATTACTCTCGTGTACAGATTAAAAAATAATAAAATCATTTTCACAATATCTTTATTCGTCACTTCTATTAGGCTGAGATATAAGCTTTTGGGCTTATATGATTTTGGACAGTAAGTTCAGCACAAACCCACCTAAAGTCAATTTGTAAAATAATCGGAAGAAAACGTTAGCTATTGCCTTAACTAAAAATTGACCTGCGCGTTGTGCAGATTTATTTATTAATTTATATAATTATTATATTTTTTATTTTACATATATTTTTTTAGTTTTTAATTATCATAAAATATGTAAATTTATTGTGAAATATTTTCTCTAAAATAAATTATGATATGTTAATTGTTTTTAAAAAATTATCTTATAATTATACGGTATCGTAAGTATCTATGTCTTCATATTATATATTTTTATTTAATTAACCTATTTATATGGTTTATTTCCAGCAATATCAGTAAAATGATTTCACAATCGATCACACACTCTCTTTTATTTTTTTTTATTCAAAATAGATTTTCA